ACCATACACGCCTATTATACACCCGTGCATATTTTATACCTGAAAATATTAATACGTATGTGTATTCATTTCAGAGAGAGAGAGAGAGAGAGTGAGAGAAAAAAACATCGAGAGAGAGAGAGACAGAGACATTCTTCCGAAACGATAGTTTAATAATAATAATAATACCTAATATTCACTGTATAACAACTGCGCTCATAGAAAAACTGCTCTTCATAAAAACTAACGATGAAATCTATATTATTTTGCGTTCGAATATACTGTCAAAATTGTTCAAATTTGTAAGATACAAAATATATATATATATATATATATATATATATATATATATGTATGTAAATAAATGAATACATAAATAATGTATATATATGTCTGCTTTTCTCTGTGTGCATACATATATTCGTTTATTTATAGTTATAGAATTGCATGTAAGTGGATGTAATGGTAGAAATATAAACTTACTCCCAGAATTGATTCTAAATTCAATCGAGTTTCTAACACTAAGTTTTTTTTGTAACCATGTCATTGCAAATATCGACTATCATGATTTTTTCTTTCATTCTTATGATGGTATCGAATATAAACTTTTATATAAGCTTTTATTCTCCGCCCTCGCACAAATATGTACGGATGAAAAATAAAATTGCCACGGTTACTGAGAATGAATAAAGCTTATTAAATCTTTATCAATCAATTAAAGAATTGTTTAAAAATCCTTACAAGTCATCAAATTTGTTTTAAAATGTAGTCAAAATAATTTATAAATTATTGTCGCAATAATCCGTAAAACATCTTTTACTTTTTTTTTATTTGTTTTGTATTTAAGTACAATAAATAATGAAAACTAATAATATATAAATTTAATATTTTCAAATATTCTTATAATATTGTTATTGAACGAATTGTTGATTTCCGAATAAACAATTTAAACATTGATTGAAATTAAAGCAGTGATTGGATATTTCATATGAGCCATTTTATCGTTTAATACTTTAAAAACATTTCCTTTGGCTAGTAAATTTTCAATTTGTTATCATATAACAACAAGATCACCATTAATGATCACTGACTTGAAATCGTCGAAGAAAATCCGAGAATAGAATTGGAGGAACTGAAGTCTCGCGGATGGGTTGACATTGTTCAGGCCATGTCAATGAGAATGTCAGCAAGAATATTAGGCAAGATGTTGAATATTCTCTCATCACATCCCCAGACACGATCAACCGGAATGAACGTCCCAATATCGGAATAATAATAATAATAATAATAATAATAATAATAATAATAATAATAATAATAATTGTACTCACTACAGTCCGCGTATTATGAAAAGCTTTATCTTTATAAAATGTGTGCGATCATTTCTTTTTTTATATACAAAAAATGATCAGTGGAAAATGTCATGAAGGCATTTCTGACCTTAGTTCTCTGGTTGGGACCCGGAAGGAAACACTACTACTACTACTACTACTACTACTACTACTACTAATAATAATAATAATGATAATAATAATAATAATAATAATAATCGCATCTAGTTTTCGTAATCATTGAAACGAATAATTATCAGATAGTGGATGTTAACAGGAGAGATTTAATAGTAAAAAGAAAAAAAAAGAGATCTAGAACTCGCACCGGAGCTAAAATAAATTGTGCAATATGAAAGCAATAGTTATACCCATCATTACTCGAGCACTTGGAACAGTCTCAAAGAACCTTGCAAAACGTTTAATGGAATTGGAAACCCGATGATAAATATAAGAGCAGAAATACTGAGAAAATAGCTGGTTTATTGTTCAGACTTGCTGCCACTTAGTCTTTAATATAAACCATCAGATACTATTGATATGAAAATTTAATTAATTAGTACAGATAATAGTATTAATAATCCAGCCATCTTGTGGTCTAATATGGGTTGCGACCTTGAGCGCAAAACCAATCAGCGCGTCGAAAACTTGCTACTGGCACTGTTTTTTTCAAATAAAAAGAATGGACAAAATCAGTGGATAATTCCAGATGACAGTTCGCCCCTAAACAAGAACTACACGCAAACAAATGTATTAGTGTGGATTATAAGGAAATTATTAGACGAACATAATAGGATGCAATAATCAAACTTAGAAAGTATTGTTACCAGTAAAAAGTTGAATCCAATATGCTTTAACAACTTCCAAAGAAATCACCTCATTTAACTTCAGTCCAAATTAATAAAAAGAAGATTTGCTGTAACACAGAGCAAATCACAAGAAATATACAAATACCTAAGTAAATATTATTCGATTAATTTTCAAGTGTGTTGTGGTTGTGGCGTACAGATTAAATTGCACATACTTAATTTCAGCGATAGACATTATATTTTTATAGTAAAATCAACTTGTAAATAATAATAATAATAATAATAATAATAATAATAATAAAAAATCATGTTTGGTCAAAGTAGCAATCACTATTATTGCTCGTTAATGAATGCAGAGTTCTTTTCTATTTTTAAGGTTTTATATTTTTGCGACATTTGTGCATCAGATTCTAAATTAATGTCAAATTAAGTCGTCAGATCCTCCAATAATGACAGACACACAGACACACGCACACCCACAATGTGGCCGTGCACACGCAAGCATTTTTGCCTTTCACAATTTCTTTCTTTCAATCACACACGTACACCTCCTCTCTCTCTCTCTCTCTCTCTCTCTCTCTCTCTCTCTCTCTTTCATCCTTCTCTTTATCTACTTCCATTTCTCTCACTCCATCTCCCTTCACAGGCTATTTAATTTCGAACATAATCACGTCTTCTACAACTTAAGATTTCTATCTATCTATCTATCTATCTATCTATCTATCTATCTATCTATCTATCTATCTATCTATCTATCTGTGTGTGTATGTGTTTGAGTGCGTGTATACTTCCCTTGTGCATACGACAAGTTTAAACACTATAAAGCCCCCCCCCCACACACACACACACACACGCAGATGTGTTCTGTCAAAAAACAAATCCATCTGTAGATAATTGTAAGTGAATCTCTTCCAAGGTAACCCGCTGTTTCGTGGTTTTGTGAGAGATAAAATTATGTTGGGGAAAATGTCCTATATGTATCGATATCTGCCTCTATCAATTAAGATTTGGAAATTATCTATCTATCTGTCTTTTCTTCATAACTATGAACCTTTATATTTATTCCGTTCATTTATATCTATTTATTTCAGTCCATTCACATATAGCGATTTTCCAAGCGTAACTCAGATGTGGCACAAGGCCGAATGTATGTGGCACCCAGTGAGGATCGAACTCACTACTCAGTCGTAATTGTTCTAGTGAGACAAGTTTGCTAGCCATTACACCAACTCGAGGTGCCCCAGTATATATATATATATATATATATATATATATATATATATATATATATATATATATATATATATATATATATATATATATATATATATATATATATATATATATATATATATATATATATATATATATATATATATATATATATATATATATATAAATTTCTCCAGGCGGTAAATGTTATTTAATACTGTTTATCATAATCAGAGCATTTGCTTAAATACTTGTATCTATAAAATAACAATGTTAAACATAAAAATATGTCTTTAATAAATAAATTGTCGGACCTTGTCCATTTCTTAATATATATATATATATATATATATATATCATACATGTATTGCATCCTTGTTAATCCGTACTGTCGAACTGCTTATATTTTCTTAGCAATAAAAATTAATTCAGAAAGACATTCATATTTATATAAGGTCAGTAAGAACCTGAATGTATTTATATAGTCAAACGTGTATCGAAATTTTATTCTATTCAATATATATGCTATATATAAGTCATAAGATATATGTTTATAGGTCTTATATCCATGTGATACATTATTTATATATATTTACATATTTATTTGCATACCTTTCTTTTTGTAGCAACGTATTTTTGAATCAGTGTCATACCCTTTAAATATTCTGAATATAACTATATTCTATATTTTAATCTCTTATAAACGATTTTGTTAAATTAATATCGTGTTAAAAATCAAAATATATGTATACATGTATATATAATCTCTCAGCGACTTATAATCCTGAAGATGTTAAATATTCATACACACGTTTCTTTTTCTCGCACTTCTCCAGATAACTTATATATGTGTTATATATGGATAGGATTTTATCTACGTAAATTCATTTTCTAACATTATAAAAAAAAAAGCATCCATTTTGCAAAACAAATATTCATATTTCAGCACAATCATTTTTATTGTGAATATATTTAATTGACCGTTTCAATGTTAATCATAGAGATCGAACGATATACAGTAAAAAAAATTAACTCAAAACTCATACTACGTAAATATTGATCGAAACATTGTATATGTTAAGTTTGTGCAAAGGTTTGCGGAAGAAAAAAACATTACTTAAAATTTTTATTCTTTCTTTCTTTTTTTTTTTTTTTAAAAATAATTCACCCTGAGCAAGGCGGTAATGTCATTAAGACGCAAGGGGTTCTGGGAGTGAAAGAGAATGAGAAGTCTTTAGAACTTTAGAAGGAACCAGAAACTCAATCCTAAACAGGAAACAAGGGATAAACTTCTACTCCTGTTCAAAAGACGGGGAGGAAAGTTAACCAGACGATAGGCGACCTTATATAACCTTATTAAAATTTCAGTCTCTACGATGCAGAAAAGAGGTTTTAAAGATTATTAGTGTTGCATAAATCAAATCTCTCTCTCTCTCTCTCTCTCTCTCTCTCACTCCCTATATATATATATGTGTGTGTGTGTGTGTGTGTGTGTGTGTGTGTGTGTGTGTGTGTGTGTGTGTGGGTTGGATTAATGTGAGTTTGTGACCCTGGGTTTCACGCTTATGCGATCGTCAGTCAAACTATGTTAGCTCTATCTCTGATATTGAGCGCTTTTTTAATAAGTACCGCGCATATAATATATCCGCGCGTATAATATATAAATAATTAT